AAAAAAAAAAAAAAAAAAAAAAAAAAAAAAAAAAAAAAAAAAAAAAAAAACAACCAAAAATCAGACATTAAAATTTTTTTTTAAAAAAAGAAAGATCTTTAATCAGAACAACAATCTCTGAGAAATACTTTTAAAAGCTTTAGGCCAAATAAAATTTTCTAATCACTAACAGTTTTATACTTTAACTGAAAGACAGTATACTTGTTATTCAACCCTGTATCTTAGCTTCAAGTTACCTAACTACTTAATCTCCAAATATATTTTATCAATACTACACCACACAAACACACACACATATATTTTTGAGACAGGTATCACTCTGGCCCAGGCTGAAGTGAAGTGGTGCAATCTCAGCTCACTGCAACCTCTCCTGGGTTCAGACAATTAGGTGCTTCAGCCTCCCAAGTCTGAGATTCAGGTGTCTGACACCACATCAGCTAATTTTTATACTTTTAGTAAAGACAGGCTTTTGTCATCTTGGTCAGGCTGGTCTTGAATTCCTGGCCTCAAGTGATCCGCCCACCATGGCCTCCCAAAGTGCTGGGATAACAGGCGTGAGCCACTGTGCCCAGCCTATTAATACTATATTTTAAATATTGAGAAAACAAGAACTTAAAAAAACAAAAAAGAACTGACTTATTCAAAGTTACCTAGCTAGCTGAATGACTGAAATCTCACTTCAAATCCGTATCCTTCTCCTAGATGAAGAACATAAACACACTGTAACATCGCTGAATCCTTAAAGCCACATGACACTGATTCTCAAACTGTCTCTGCTTACATTTAGGCACATGAACATAGGCAGAATACAAACCTAAGTACAATTATCTGAAAGGTACTTTCATTTCCTAAGTAGAAAATAAAATAACTGGAATCACTTTTTAACAGTCCATCAAAACAACTTAAGGTTGTGTATTCGATCTAAAGGAGAAGAGTACAGGCATTAATCTACAATTACAGTACATTTAGCACAAGTATGGAAAATTATATACTTACTTTCTGAATAAACTTCTCAACACTCTGTACCACATGTTTATAGAACTAAAAGAGGAAAAAAACGAAGCATGATTTTAAAATCAGTTTGAGACTAAAATTTTCTGCTAACCATAGGTTTACATAGCTCCAAAGGTCTATCTAAACAATTATCTTAACCAAGAATTCTGAGACAAACATTCTTGTCACTCACCATATGCAACCAGCTGTGCTATATAATTAGTAAAGGGCTTCTTTGAAGTAGATAATCAGTATGCCCAAAGTATGCTGCCTTGCCATAGATATAAAATAACGCTACTGAAGACTTTCTGAAAGTATACTTTAACAAACAGTTGTGTTGACAGCAAAACACTTTTGCTAAGTACTGGTGGGTGTATATTCTTAATTTCATGAAAGGAAAAGTACAGATTTAACACAGTATAATTTTATCAGTTAAATAAAGGTAAATTAGAAAAGATAACTACAAATAACATTAATAAATATATGTAAGGTAGTTGTTTTCAACTTCATTTATCTCCTTCTGCTTCTCCTGGAAAATGAACTGCAAGAATATAAAACACAGAAATGTATAATATCCTAATGGATCAGACAATATGAGTTAGCAGAAGTGAACATATAGAATAAAAATTAGTAATGGGCCACTATCAATTGTGAGAAAACTTAAGACGATTTAAGTTTCATAAAATATAGCACTATAAACTTGAGATGAATTATAAATTTAGCATAAAGTATATAGAATTTGTGCCTAATAAATTTTAATACCACAACAATACCATATTGGCATATTATTTCTGTTTAAATAACTAACTTGAATTGTGCTTCTCTTTATACTTTTTTTGTTTTTGACACAAAGTCTCACTCTGTCGCACAGGCTGGAGTGCAGTGGCGCAATCTCGGCTCCCTGAAACTCCTGCCTCCCGAGTTCAAGTGATTCTCCTGCCTCAGCCTCCCGGGTAGCTGGGACTATAGGCACACGCCACAACGCCTGACTAATTTTTGTATTTTTAGTAGACATCGGGTTTCACCAGGTTGGCTAGGCTGGTCTCAAACTCTTGACCTCAACTGATCCACCTGCCTCGGCCTCCCAAAGTGCTGGGATTATAGGCATGAGCCACCGTGCCTGGATCCCTTTATACTTTTCTTCTCATGAATTATGCTTTTTAAGGAACATTCCCCTAGACTGAAGAAATATGAACATTTGACTAAATCTCAGCACTAAATCCAGTATTTATAAAATCAAAAATAAAGGAAAACATCATGAACTCATATTCACCAAATCAAATCAAACCCAAAGTTTAAGTTTGGCTAAAGTTACTTACAATAAAGTAACAGCTTACTCAATGGTTTCAGTTATTTAAATAAAAAAGCTAAAACAACTACTTAAGTGGGCACTTTATAGGCACCTAAACATTTAAAAATCAATATGCAAAATATTAAATAACTACTTATTGAATAAAGAATTCTTCTGGAAGACACCTTGACAGTGTTCTCTGCTTCTAGTTACTATACATAATTAGAATAAAACTGCTTCCTAAATCTTAACTGAAAGTTTATTAATTCTCATAGGCCCTCTTCCACAATAGGTTATCTGGGTGGTTTTGTTGACAGTGCAATGTTAACCATCATCACTCATTAATCACTTCTATATAAAATACAATGACTTACATCAATATGAAACACAGTATCATTTAAATCTGATTAATAAAATGTAGTTTAAAATACCAGGTATTTATATATATATATACATATATATATATATATCTCCTAAATGCCATTTAAAATAACAAAGTAGTAAAAAATAACTGGTCTGGACTCTTCAAAAACATCAATGTCACAAAAAAACAAGGGCTGTGTGACAGGACAAGTAAGTATAATGTGTGATCTAGACTGGATTCTGAAAAAGGCAGGGTTGAAAGGAACAGCTACTAGTCAACAATGCAACAATATTAAAAGTAAGGATGAACTGTATAATATATAACAATATTATATCAAAGTAAAAGTGAAATTTCTTGCATGTGATTGGTATATTATGGTTCCCTAGGAAAATGTCTTTATTCTTAGGAGTTTCAAATTCAAGCATGTAACAAGGATTGCTATTATGAATGAAGTCTGAAACTAACTTCCATATGTAACAGAATGTCAACAATTAGCAAATCCAAGGGAATAATATGTCCTGCTCACCATAATAATTTGAAACTTAAGTTTAAATTTTTTCAAAAGTCAAAACATTAAAAATAAGTCAAAATAGTAAAATATATCATAATAATAAATATTAGACTCTTTTTAAAAAACATTTAATCTTCTAAGTACTTCTTTTAAAAAAAGCTTTGAGACAGGGTCCCACTATGTTGCCAGGCTGGCCTCGAACTCCTGGATTCAAGCGATCCTCCTGCCTCAGCCTACCCAGTAGCTGGGACTACAGATGTGTGCCACTGTGTCCAAAAAGTTAGACTCTTGGTTGACAGAATTCTGGATTAAAATTCCAGCTATATTTACTCCTACTACTGCAAATTACTTAATTTCTCTCAGACCCGTCTGACATCTGAAAATAAAAAATACTGTTTGGACCTATACTTCACTGACTCTATTAAGAAAGTATTCTGCTCAACAAGTTATCTAAAGTGCATCAATTATTAATTTTCACAGAATAAAACTAATACACGTTTGCATACTCTAAAATGATCATGGTCATAAAAGTCAGATCATAATATAGAATAGTATAAAATACAAGAGAATAAAATCATTCTACAGTGACTCTATCTAATACTCTAAAAAATCATGTCTTTGAAAAACTTTCTGACTTCAAAGTCCTTACCGTTATTGTTGTTGTCCTCTCTGATGTTCTGGCATGTAAGTACATGAATTTAACTATAGGTGTAAGATAGTAACAAGTCTGAAAACTAAGCTTTAGCCGCTAGAAAACTGCAAAATCAATTAATCATCTCAATTTTCTCCCGGTAGTAATTACTAGTAAATAGGAATTTGTTAAATCTAATATAGTGCTGTTATTTAAAAGATAATTTAAATACCTGGTGCTTTTGGTTATGGTTAATATTTTAATTATGAGCAGGAAAACATATCACTGAATAGTCATAGGTTAATACCTACTTAATTAGAAATAAGTACTCATCCATTCCCAATTTTAAGAGGCCTACTAAGTTAGGAATCCCTGGGGATTTCTTCGGGAAGATATCTATGGCTGAGCTTGAAAAGGTTCTTTTGCCAGAAAATTTTCTATAAAATTTTGTGCATATATGTATTTTTCCAGAGACAACCCAACCTTTTCCTGAGATTTTCAGAAGTATCCACAAGTCAATATAGATTCAAACCTACTTTATCAGAGCAATGGTTAAATGCCTCTGGCCTTTTCCCACAGTTCAAATACCTTAAGTAGAATGAGGCACAACTGTATACCCTAAGGGCCTATTTTTGAATCTATAATAATAGAATCAATAAGAAAAAAATGAATATATCAATATACAGAAATCTTTTATCAATTCATATTTTCAAGATGCTACCAAGTTAGTGTGGCAAAAGACAGTGTTAAACACACTCTCCATAAAGTGGATATACCCAAAATATTACCTAAGAAATGTAAGGAAAAAGGACTGCTTCAAAAAAATTTATGGAAGAACATTTAAGGAAGAATATTTATTAAGACATTAAATGTTTGGCAGGCTGAGACAAAAGGATCACTTGAGCCCAGGAGGTCAAGGCCACGGTGAGCTATGATTGTGCCACTGCAGTACAGCCTGGGTGACAGAATAAGACCTTGTCCCTAAAAAATAACAATAATTTTAAAATAAACATTGTTTATCACCAAATGGGAGTGTATACAGGTGACAGATTTTCTTTTTTGTGTTTTTCCACGATTAATATGTGTTAACACTGTAAAGTGAGAAAGAACATATAATCCATAAAAATTATCCCCCATCCAAACTATTAATATTGTTTTTCTTTTGAAAATAGAAGAGTAAAATTTATTACTCACCTTAATAGCTTTGATGGCTGCCTTAGTAATTTGGGTCATTTTCGCTTTAGAAATGGGTGGTTTATAGTCATTCAGGGAATACAACTGATGAAAAAAGAACAACAAATTTTACATACAGCAAAACTCTCCAAGCAATTACATGAAGCTACCAAACATGTTCATTTTTATATTTTCAATGAAACCACAATCAAGTTCAACATCACTACCCATCAGGGAAATGCAAATCAAACTATAATGAGCTACCACTTCACACTTGCTTATAATCAAAAAGACAGTAACAAGTGTTAGCAAGGATGTGGAGAAACTGAAACCCTCAGACAATACTGGTGGGAATGTAAAATGTTGCAGCAGCTTTGGAAAACAGCTTGACACTTCCTCAAAAGATTAAACACAGTCAACATATGACCCAGTCAATTCTACTTCTAGGTATGCACCCAAGAGAACTGAGAACATAAGTTCACATAGAACTTGTACATGATACTTTTTCCTGTCTCAGGGTTGAAAAAGAAAGAAAGAAAAAGAAACCTGTACATGTGTGGTCACTGTCACTTTATTCATATAAAATTCATTAAAGGCAGACACCCAAATGTCTGTCAGCTAATAAGTAAACAAATATATATCTATTCAATGAAATATGAGCCACAAAAAGAAAAAGGTACTGATACATGTTACAATCCGAATAAACCTTGAAAACCTTATGCTAAACTAAAGCTGCCAGATAAAAAAGGCAATATATTATATAATTCCATTTATATGTAATATCCAGAAATGGCAAATCTATTGGTGGTTGTCTAGGGCTGAAAGACTTAGAGATAAATGAAGAACGACTGCTGATGAGTAGCGTGTTTCTTGTTGAGATCATTAAAGTATTTTAAAACGGAATGTGGTGATGGTTGCATAGAACCACTGAATTGTATACTTTATGTTGACTAGTTTTATGCTATGTGTCTTAATAAAACTGTTTTAAAAAATCAAGGGCTCTGGCCAGGCATAGTGGCTAGTGCCTGTAATCCCAGTGCTTTGGAACGCCTAGGCAGGTGGATCATCGCCTAAGATCAGGATTTCAAGACCAGCCTGGCCAACATGGTGAAACCCCGGTGCTACTAAAAACACAAAAAATTAGCTTGGTGTGGTAGCAGGCACCTGTAATCCCAGCTACTTGGGAGGCTGAGGCAGGAGGATTGCTTGAACCCAGGAGGCAGAAGCTGCAGTGAGCTGAGATGATGCCACTGTACTCCAGCCTGGTAGCCTCCAGAGGGAGACTGTCTCAAAAAAAAAAATAAATAAACAAACAAAACAAGGGCTCTACTGTTTAACAGGAATCCCACCCCATTCCCAAATCTTTTTTTAATTTTTGTTTTTTTGAGACAGGGTCTCACTGTGCCATCCAGGCTGGAGTTCGGGGGCACGATCATGGCTCACTGAAGGCTGTACCTCTTGGGTTCAAATGATCCTCCCACCTCAGCCTTCCAAGTAGCTGGGACGACTATACGTGCATGCTACCACACAGGCTAATTTTTTTATGTTTTGTAGAGGTGGGGTTTGATCAGGTTGCCTGGTTGGTCTTGAACTCCTGATCTCAAGCGATCTGCCTACTTTCGCCTCTGAAAGTGCTGTATTATAAGCATGAGCCACAGCAACTGGCCTACCTCCAAATCTTTGTTTTGAAATTTCTCATATAAGCAAAGGGAAAGAATACTACTTCAATGTGAAGGTATCAGGCAACAGACAACTAAACTTAAATGAATACTGATTAAAAGTTCTATTGTACGCATAAATGCTGATTTTTAAGTATAATATCATAAGATATTAGAAGTCTGGAAACTAAACTTTGGCCATCAGAACACTGCAGAAACAACTTCAACAGATTTTACATGCAATTCAAACAGAATTTCTGGGTTAATTAACAACAAACTTAGGGAATCCTTCAGAGCTTTTACTCCAGCACCCCTTACAACATTCAATTTTATTCATTTTTGTCCTTTTTATCTCTGAATTCTGCCCAGTTTTCCCCATATTTGTCTCCTCTCCCACTTTTTACTAACTCATATTTTAGAATTCTAACCACCACCATACCATGACCACAGTCCAATTTAATCTCTCACCTGAAGAACATCTAAAAAAATGTGGTATGTTCTCCCTACCATGTTTACAGCTATCTTCCCCATTTCCAACTTCTATTTTGGATTTCAGGGGTACATGTGCAGGTTTGTTACTGGGTATATTTTGTGATGCTGAGGTTTGTGGTACAAAAAGATCCCATCACACAGGTACTAAGCTTAGTGCCCAACAGTTTTTGAACCCCTTCCTCCCTCCCTCCTCTAGCAGACCCCAATAACTACTGTTGTCATCTTTATGTCCATGAGTACCCAATGTCTAACTCTCACTTGTGAGAACATGCAACATTTAGTTTTCTGTTCCTGCATTAATTCACTTCAAATACAGCTATCTTTTCAGAAACTAATGTGATCAGGTAACTGACACTCACCCACTCCTACTACGCATCCCCCTTAAAATGGTCAATGATTTCATACTCTTTGGATAAAAACGAAAAATCTTTGTATTTAAAGCCCTGTCCATCCTAACTCCTGTCTACCTTTCCCGCCTCATCTCACACCATTGTTCCACTCTTCTATTCCAGACACACAGTGGTCTTTTTTCAGTTCCCTGCCACAGGGCCTTTAAAATAAGGCTTGTTTCCTCTATTTGGAATACTCTCTACCAGGGTTTTTCCACTAGTTAATACATACCCATCCATCTTAAAGCATCACCTAATGAGGAGCAGCTTCCCAACCTCCCCAACCAGATCAATAATACCTCTTGTGCTATCATTTATAATACTTTTGAGGCATTCATTGCTGCAATCTAATGTTTACTTGTAGGGTTATTTAACTAATACGTACTTGATTTTTAGTCAAGTATTAAATAATCCTACAGGTAAACTCTTATTAAGTTAAATTGCATTAAAGGAACTTACGTCCTTTGTCTCTTCTTGTCACAGGGTGATGCTGACTGACAAGAAGAGACAAAGGACCTAAGTTCTTTTAACGCAATTTAATTTAATAAGAGTTTAAGGTCAGGCACAGTGGGTTCCACTTGTAATCCCAGCACTTTGGGAGGCCAAAGCAGGTGGATCAATTGAGGCCAGGAGTTTGAGACCAGTGTGGCCAACATGGCGAAACCCCATCTCTACTAAAAATATAAAAATTAGCCAGGTGTGGGGGTACACACCTGTAATCCCAGTTACTTAGGAAGCTGAAGCACAAGAATTGCTTGAACTTGGGAGATGGAGGTTTCAGTGAGCCTATGCCACCGCACTCCAGCATGGGTGACAGAACGAGGCTTTGTCTCAAAAAACAACAACAAAAAAGTTTAACCAAAGACTAACTGCTGCCCAAGTGGAAATTAATCCTGGTAGAAGTGCAAACATGCTTCCCCATTAAGTTCCCATAAAGGCACCCATCTGTTCATAACAGTTGACAAGGATTAGGATCCCATCACGTACTAAGAACTTTTTTTTTTAGACAGGGTCTCGCTTTGTCACCCAGGCCGGAGTGCTACTGTGGCACAAGCACAGCTCACAGCAGCCTTGATCTCCCAGGCTCAACTGATCCTCCTACCTCAACCTTCCAAGTAGCTGGGTTGTAGGCACAGACCACCACACTCGATTTTGTGTGTGTGTCATGAATGTATAAAATTTATGTAGATACTAGTTTAGTTTATCATTTACAACTATAACATACATAGCGCCATTTACAGGAAAGAGAAACATAAAGATGTGGTATTAATCATAACTGCAAAAAACTAACTTCTAGTATAATAATTTTATAGCCACCTTCTGGTGCTTTGCAGGGAGTCCAAGTGTGAGCATCCACTTAAAATGCCATGTGATATCACCATTTCTGCATGAGCAGTTCCTCTCTCTAGCAAACTGAATATCACAGTAAAAAAATGATCTCTTGCAGTTCTTGAGAATTTTTCATTGTGTGTAGTGCAGTAACATAAACCATGAATGCGACCACAGACCCATGTGAAGTGGCACTAGTGATGCTGAAGGTGATTTCAAGAAGCAGAGAAAAGTCACGACAAGAAAAGTGCTGAATTGCTTGATATGTACAGTAGGTTGAGGTCTTCAGCAGCAGTTGTCCACCTTTTCAAGATAAATGAATCCAACATAAGGACCATTGTCAAAAAAGAAAAGGAAATTCATGACGCTGTCACTGCAGCTACCCCAGAAGGTGAAACACCTCAAACTTTTTCTGAAATACCTTTCTACTTTGTATTGAAAATGCAGCCTCTGTGTGGGTATAGAATTGTTATAAGAAAGGCATATGTACAGACTCTAATATCATTAGAGAAAAAGCTAAGTCATCATATGATACCTTAAAGCAAACGGGAGATGAAAGATCTAAAGCTGGAGAATTTAATGCCAGCAAGGATTGCTTGATCATTTTAAGATAACAGGAGAAGGTCAGGTATGGTGGCTCGTGCCTATAATCCCAGCAGTTTGGGAGACCAAGGCAGGAGGATCACTTGATTCCAGGAGTTCAAAACTAGCCTGGGCAACATGGTGAGACCACATTTCTCTAAAACATAGAAAAAATATTAGCTGGCATGCTGGCCTGTGCCTGTAGTCCCAGCTACAGGCTAAGGTGTGAGGATCACTTGAACCCAGGAGGCAAAGATGGCAGTGAGCTATGATTGTGCCACTGCACTCCAGCCTGGGTGACAGAGTGAAACCCCTATCAAAAGAAAGAGACAAAGAGAGAGGGAGAGATAGAGAAAGACAGAGAGAAACAGAGAAAGTAAAGAAAGGAAGGAGAGAAAGAAAAGACAGAGAAAGAGAGAGAAGAAAACAGGAGAAGCAGCTTCTGCCAACCAAGAGGGAACAGGCAATTTCCCAGACATCATTAAGAATTTGGCTGGGCATGGTGGCTCACACCTGTAATCCCAGCACTTTGGGAGGTGGAGGCCGGCAGATCACAAAGTCAAGAATTCATGACCAGCCTGGCCAGCATGGTGAAACCTCTACTAAAAGTGCAAAAATTAGCTGGGCCTGTAATTCTAGCTACGCAGGAGGCTGA